CCTAAACATAGAGTAGCTCAGCTTTCTGGGCTTTATCTGCTACTCTGCATCTTCTTCCTTCATGAAATGTTTGCTCAGATCCATTACTCAGGTTTTTAATTGAATAGTTTGATTTTATAGAAACAAGTTTTTAGCAATAACTGTACTATAGCTCAGATATTATACTGCCTTGAGATTTCACATTCCAAACAACTTTGTCCAATTCTAGTTTTATTTTTTTTATTTTATGTGTATAGATATTTTGCCTGTATATGTGTCTGTGGACCATGGGTATCCTTTTGAGGCCAGAGATAACATCAGATCCCCTGGGACTGGAGTTATAGATGTTCATGAGCCATCATGTGGGTGCTAGGATTTGAACCTGGGTCCTGTGAAAGAGCAGCCAGTGCTCTTAACCTTTGAGCCATCTCTCCTGCCTCATGTCCTTTTCCTTTAAATTCAATCACTTACTTTTTCAGGACATGAGCAAAACACAGTCAGGTTCTTTGCCAGAATAGTGTAAATGGCCTCTAACCTGGCTTCTGATGAAATACTTGTACCCTGTGAAACCTTAAGAGTATAGTGCTTACTTTGGGCATTTCTAACCACATTCTGTTTCTAAATCCCACCAGGAAGGCCCACTAAGCTTTGCAAGTCCAAACTCTTCAGCATCATCCCTGCCATGACCAGAAGGTTTCTCAGAACAATCACCCTACCCCTGGTACAGACTGTATGTTGTAATTACATTTCTTATGGTTGTAACCGAATTATCTGGCGAGGACCAACTTCAGGGAATGAGGGGCTTATTCTGGCTCCTGATTTGAAGATAGCTGATCATGATGGTGAAGACACAGTGTCAGGAGCACAAGGCAGTTATCTGGTCATGTTGTGTCCATAGTCAAAAAGCAGATATAAGTGAACACTCAAGGTCTCCAGTCTGTCTTCTTTCCCACTTTCATTCAGTTTGGGACCTTAGGGTCTGCTGTGGTATTGTGGTGCTTCAAAACAGGCATGGCAGTTGCCGTGATCACTCAAGGATCCACTAATTGACTAACAAAATAGGGAATGCAGTGTGAATATTCCACACAAAACAATGATTTATTACACTGTTGACTTTAAGCCAAACAGCAAGTGATTTCACCACACTACTTAAGGCTTAAAGCAAACCTTTTGGAATTTTCTATTCATTACTTTCAGACCCAATTCACTGTGGCCTGTAGTGAAATGTGCATAAATGTGCAGTGCAGTGCAATTGCGTTAGCATCTTGGCAAAAACACTGAATTTCCTTCACATTTTTTGTCAAAAAAAAAAAAAATCAAGTGTCCATGTATCTGTGGGTCCATTTGTATGCTTGCCTTGCTGTTTTTTTGACTTGACCTCTTATCTATCATCATGTCAAATCACCATTTATTGATTATGTTAGCTTTATATTAAGTCCTGATGTCAAGTAGTATTGGTGTTGTTCTTTTTAGGAGAATTTATTTGAGTTTCTATGTCTTTTCTATCGCCTTGTGAATTTTAGACTCAGCTTGTCAATTTCTTCTTACAAACATCCGAGGACTGGGTGTAAAGCTTTGTTAGTAGTGGGCTTGCCTAACACACACATCCCTGGATTTGACTCACACCACCACATAAACCACATCGGCATATACCTGTAATCTCAGCATTTAGGAGATAGAGACAAGAGGATCAGAAATGTAATGTACCATCAGCCAAATACAGAGCCAACCCTAGTCTGCCATACAGGAACCTGTTTAAACACACGCACACGCACACACACACACACACACACTCTCCTCCAAACATACCTGGGGATAGTGAAGAACCTAACATTTTCAATTACAGTTTACATGCTATCATATTTAAGCCTTACCACAAATCTAAGATTTAGTCATTATTCTTACTCTTTTGTTGTTGTTGCAAAGATGAAGAAATCAAGTCTCATACAGGTTCTAGAATCTCATTAATGAGAATAAAATTTGAATCAAAGTCAGCTGTAGTTTGTACTGCCAACCACCACAATGTAGTGCTTGAAAGATTTGGCTTGTTCATAGAGTGTGCTCCTGTAACACAGCCCTCTACCTATCTTTTCCCCAAGCAACCAGAGTCCGCAGACAGTACCAGGGCCCTTTCAGCTTCTGTCTTTCCTCCCTGTGATCCTTCTTACATAGATTTCTATTTTCCATTTCTTCCTGAGATGCCTCTACTCCTTCCATGTAGATTGATCTCAAGTGTCACCTCATCATCGATGCCGTCTCTAACGACCTGAGTGGCATGTGTAGGTTCTCTTTTCTCCATTCAGAGTTATCATCATAGGTCTGATGTGAGAAAGGCTCCATGAGATTAATAGCCCATTAATTCAGGGATTTGATGATATAGAAACAGATGCATAAAATGAAACCCAAAGAACTGAAAAGTCAGGGAGGAAAAATGATCCGTGGGACAATTTCAGCTGGCTCAGATATATGTCATTGGGGGTACATAATTGAGGACATAACATGAAATTTTTCTAAGTTTGATAAAATTATAACCCCAGAACCAAGAATGTTAACAAACTCCCAAGAAAAAGAAATAACCTGGAAAAGTGTAACAAGGCATGTCTTAACCAAATGATTTAAACTTGTTTATTATTGCTTTTTGTATATGGGTGCTATGGGTCTTCTGCCAAAGGTTTGTCCAGTAGAGACTTGGTCTCTGGTGCAGTATATTGAGAGCTGGGGGTCTTTAAGAGACAATCAGATCACGGAGTGGCACTCTGGGAAGGAATTAACATCGCTTTCCCAGTTAGTGCCTGCAAAGAGCAGGTGAATGTAAAAGAGTGATTGATCCTGACCCCTCCCTACTTTCTTCACTTGTTTGCCCATGTGCCCCTACTACATGTAACCAAAAATCTGTGTGTTTCTGGGCCATGCTGTGATGCACACAGGGGGCCCCTCACTAGAAGCTTTATTTATTTATTTATTTATTTATTTATTTATATTATTTTTTGGAGCTTATTTGCAGCCAAATAAATATGTTTTTTTTTTTTTAAAGCAGCTAGCATCAGGTATTTTTTTTTTATAGGAACAAAACAGGCAGAGATTCTATGTCAAAATCAGTGTTCTTTTTCCTCTTTTCTAAGAAGTCAGAGAAGAAAAGATGTAGAAAGACCAGTACAACACAGTCAGGCAGGGTGGCACACACCTTTTATCTCAGCACTTAGGAGGCAGAGACAAGTGGATCTCTGTGAGTTCCAGGCCAGCCTGCTCTACAGAGAGAGTTCCAGGATAGCCAGGGCTACACAGAGAAACCTGGTCTCATAAAACCCAAACCCAAAACCAAACCAAACCAAAACAACAACAAACCCCCCAAACAAACAAACAAACAAAACAGAGAGAAAGACAGAAAATAAAAGAGGGAAAGACAATAAAAAGTAAACCAAGCAAGGAGAAATAGCCAGACAACAGTTTTAAATATAGCATAGCAATAATCATACTAAATGGAAATGCTCTAAATTCATAAGTTCAAAGCAAATACAGTAGACTTAAAAAAAAAAGCCTATCTTTTTATTATTGTTTTTTTTTTTTTTGTGTGTGTGTGTGTATGGTTGCATCACCAAGTCAAAGGAACTGGAGTTGCAGGTGGTTTTGAGCTGCCATGTGGGTGCTGGAAATTGAAGTTGGGTCCTCTGGAAGAACAACTAGCGTTCTTAGCTGCTGAGCCATTTCCCTAGGCCCTGTAGTAGAATTCTTAAAAACTAATTTAAAATAACAATAATAGTTATTATTATAATAGTTATGCTACTACTAATTTTTATTAATTACTGGGTGGCATCCGTGTGCCATGGCATGTATGTGGAGGTCAGAGGACAATGTTTGGGAGTTGGTTCTAGCCAACCTTGCCGAGGCTGTCTCTCTTGTTTCTGCCACAGTACAGAATACGCCAGGCTAGCTAGCCCACAATCTTCCAGGAGACTCCCATGCCCCTGCCTCCCATGTCTCTGTAGGATCTGAGCTTACAGATACACGCCAGTGTGTCTGGCTTTTTATGTGGATTTGGGGGGTTGAGCTCAGGTTGTGAGGTTTGCACAAATGCTTTTACCAGCCGAGCCCTCTTGGTGGCTTAATGTATGGTGGAGTTTTAACAACTGGGAAGTCTGGGTTAAAAATAAAATATGGGGCTATAGTGACTATTGTGGTAATTTTTACATAACTTTGAAAATATATACAATAATTTGTTTTGTAGAGGTAGAGTAACTTGTTTCTCTAGATTCTTGACTGCCTGCTCCAGGAACCCCAGCAATGGTCTCCAGGAGAGATATTTATGATCACTCAGAATTTTTGAAATGACTAGTTAGTTACCTCTGCCAATGGCCAACTATGGGCCACAGAAGGAAACTTTATCTACCTTCTCCACTGCCTCTTCTCTGCCATGTAACAACCCTGGCTGGTAAGAGGATGACCGGCTCCAGTTCTTACAGAGACCCTTTCTGAAAGTTGCTGCCCGAGCCCCGAAGCTGCTCATTCTTATCTATTTTCCTTTTAATGAACAGCTCAGCAATTCTCTTCTGGCCCATGATATTGAAGCCTCTCTTTATATGCCAATGTGCCATCTGCCTGTCATCTTTGCTGAGGTCTTCCCAGTCCTCTGTGGGTACCCAGCAGCATACCTACGGAACCTCTGGTGCAGTGTTCCCAACCTTCCTACCATTGCCACCCTTTATATAGTTCCTTAAATTGTGGTGACTCCCAAACCATAAAATTATTTTTGTTGCTACTTCATAGCTGTAATTTTGCTACTGTTATGAGTCATAATGCAACTATCTGTGTTTTCTGATGGTCTTAGGTGATTTTTCTGACAAAGGTTTGAGACCCACAGGTTGAGAACCACTGCTCTGGTGACTAGGCCTGTGGTGTTGTAACTCCATGGTTGGGAAGGAAGTGAATCAAAGGTGTCAGGCCAAAATAATTAATGAATTTTTCCATGATTAAAAGGCTATTTGGCATCTGGGACCATATGTGGAAGCCTGCGGTGGGGACAAGCTTGGCTCTCCATCCCTAGTGGGTGGAGCCTCTTGGACTTCTGGGATTTGAGGACCAGAACCAGAGTGGAAGCTCAGGGAGAGGCTCTGGGTCTCATGCATGGAAAATCTGAAGGGTTGGCCCGTGACCTCCAAGTGCAGAGCAGAAGTGGCTACAGAGCCTCAGCATCTCCAAGCTGGCTTCCGAGCTAAGCCACAGCATTGATAGCACAGTTCAAATGCAAAGCTGAAGTCTGTGTGGTGGAGACCATGATCATAGAGAATGGGGTGGCTGTTATCCTGGAGTGAGGTGAGTTCTACAACAGTCTGTGGTATTAAGGAGATACAAGGGAGAATTAGATGAGATGGAAGATTCTGATGAGATAGATAGATGGATGCATAGTTAGATAGATGGTAGGTAGGGAGAGATTATTTTTGTCTCTTGACAAAAGCCATCAAGTCCTTTGTGTATTGTGTTGCTGATGATGGGACTCAGGCCTCATGGGCACTAGACAAGTCCTGTGCCATTGAGCCAATAAATCCTGTAAAATACCTTCTAAGTTGGGTGTGGTGATGAGGCAGCTTGCCTTAGATACTCTTCATAACTTTAAGTAACTCCCTTACCTTGGAGGCTCCTCTCCCCTACACACACATACACTGTAAGGAGGCTGAACCCCTGGTGGTGCCTACTTGTCAGCTGTTCCCCTCTCCTGCCACTACCAAAACACAGAAAAGGCTATCTGCTAAAGGAGTCTGGGAAAAGGCAATAGTGCTCAGAAGGACTTCCTTCTCAAATTCTGCCTGAGACACTTTTAACGTAAACTCGGGACTGAGCCCATCAGATTCCCTCCCATGATGAGGATGTCTCGTGTTTTCTATGGATGGAAAGTAGTATGGAGAGAAGAGGCAGGCCAGGCATGATGAGAAAGATGGCAGTCACCTTTTCAACATGGCTCCTGAGGCTGTGTGAATGTCAACATGGACTCAGCTACAATCCTATGTGGTCAGGCCCCTCTGCATATCTCATACTGAACATGGGATAAAGGAATCAGCCATTATTATTTGCTGGCCCTGGAGGGGGTGGGGGGGCAGGAAGACAAGTTCTGCCCTTTATCAGAGTGGGCCCTTGTTGCCAGAGACCAGAGGGGACTTGTTCACACTAGAGGCTGAATTGCATTGGCATCTGCCCAGCTGTGTAGTAACCTTGTCCCTCTGGACAAACACACATTTCCTTCCAACACCAAGGGAAAAATATCCAAATCTTGGGACTTAATACGGAAACAACTCGACAGCATTCCTGACAAAAGCCATCCTTGCTAGAGATAAAATGGGTTTACAAGTGGGCCTGTGGGGTGCTGGGAATGCTCATGTCCTGGGCCTGGGGGCTTAGTGGTCATGGGGTATGGTAGTTTGCCAAGAATTGTCAGATTGTACTAATGGCTCATGTACATTACATTTTAATAAAAAATCATTATCAAAAAATGAACCAGAGATAGGAAAAGATTCATGTGGCTTGGCCACTGTTCAGCAGTCTCACAGGGCATATGCTTCCAACAACCCTAGCTGTAACCATGGAGGGGAGAATGTTTGAGGGTCGGCTGCTGGCATGTATTGGCAGAGCAAACACACGGGCTTCCTCATACACCATCCCCTCTATGTACACAGGGTGTTAGGCCAGCCTCTGTGAGCCACACTTCATGGTAACAAAGACAACAATGCCACCATCTCGTAGTTGTCAACAGCATGGCAGCACTCAAGTCTTTGGCTCAATATTTACGCAGCCAGAGAAGGCATGTCTGCTCTGCAATATTGACTTAGATTCATTACTCTCAAGAAAAAAAAAAAAAAAAAAAAAAAGCCAGTGCCCATTCCTGCTCATGCACTGTGGCCTTTGGGGACTCCAATCCCAACTATCTGGCTTCATGGTGGTTATCTTGTTATCTTGCCTAGGGTCAGGAACTTCCTCATTGCTGCTGAAGGTTGCCTAGAGTCCTCAGTAAGAGCAACTTGCAAAAGAGATATGGGAAAACTGAAGTATGTCTACATTCATGGAGTTCCCAGGAAATCGCCATCAGTAAGTTCTAGCCTCCAGTCGAGGGTTTTTCCATTTTCCCATTGTTTCTGAGTGAGACACTCAGCCATTGACAAGTACAACAGACTGCTTTCCACAAACTCTGTTGTCAAGGGAAGTAGCTGGTGCGGCTTTGTAAGCTCCAGGGTCCTCAGGCCCAGCCACGACCTGTGACCCCCCTCAACATCAGCTGGAGAAAGTGAGGGGCCCAGCCTGCATCAGCTGGACAAATGAGGGCCTGGACACACTGTCTTGCAGCTCTGCTTTTGGTGAGGGGCTGACCCCTCGCTGCAGGTGCTGTGTCCCCAGGGCATTTTTGGTCGCCCAGTCAGGTGGCAAGGACTTGCTTGCTCTAAGGGTGTTTCTCTTTGCCCTCTTTCATCAAAAGAGCTTTGAGGAGACGCCTTGCCCTGCCCTCTCCCTGCCTCCGGGGGCCCACACAGTCAGTAAGCCCTCCATAACCATTAATTTAGCCAATTTCCTGGGCCACACCATCCCCCAGGGACCCCACTTTGGTGGGCAGCACTGGAACAAGACTCCCTGCTGTTTCCATTCCCTTTTAATTACATAGGGACAAGCTTCCTTGGGCTGACTTTGGGAGGCAAGCCCCGGGCCGGCCTGGCTGCCCTCCACCAAACAATGCACACATGTTCCGGAGAATTCCTTCCTCGCCTAATCCGGGCTGGGAAGAAAGGGGCTTTTCTTCTTGTCGTCAAAGGGGATCTTCGATGCTAAGATACCATTTTGTGTCTCAAGTCATGTCACGGGACTTCTGCCTCGGCCTCGCTGCCTGCTCTTTAGAAATGAAGGACACAGTCCTTGATTCACCTCGAGACAAGTGCCCTCCCCTCCACCCCGGCACATAAAAGAAGGCTGGGGAGCAAGAGAAGCAAGGGAAGTGCCCCGCTCCCACTGTTCCTTTCTCATCTTGGCAACCTCGGCGCTCTGGACTGTTTGCCCAAAGGATGAGTAGGGAGGACTGAGCCTCACCTGCTGATCTCAAGGGTCATGAATATTCTTATAATCCCCGAGGAAGAAGGGCCTTTCATTAGAGGAGTCTGTCCAGGAGGCCTGGAGCCTCATCACCTCCACCACCAGTTCAGTCTCTTCTGCTTCCTGGTTCTGGTCTGCAGACTGCCCTCCCTACCCTCTGCCTCCCGGTTCTGCAGGCTGCAGATGCTGGAAAATCGGGATTTCACCCGGCAGGCTATGCGGGTCTCTGTTACTAGCTCATGTCCCTGTTTTATAAGCAAATTAAAGGAAGTCTCTGACTTGCAAACTGCTTTGAGACTGAGAACAGACTTGCTCAGTCCTCCCTGGTGTTGGTCCCCAGTCACGTTCACATGCTACCTCCAGTGGTGAAGAGCCCCGAGGGAGGGAGATTTTGGATTCTCAATGTGAAATCATGCTAGGTGAAGAGTTAATATGAAAGCTAGTTGGAAAAAAGTGGCTTCAGGTGTCCTAGCAGCAGCAGAAGAGAACAACCCGTTAGTTGAAGTGTGGAGCAGCATATCTCTCCTAGCTGGAGGACTTCCAAAACAAAACAACCCCCTCTCACCAAAAAACAAAACAAAACAAAAAAACCACAAAACAACAGCAACAAAACCCCCACCATATTCTGCATTTTAAGTGTTATCCCTAACATCTCTGCACTAAAATAAGTTTTTCTGGTTTAGAGCAGCCTGAATCTAGTTGCTCTACATATCCTCATGAAAAACAAACACAGATGTGTGGCGGCCCAAGTTTTCTCCAGAATCCATAACTGCAGCCTCTGGGCTGGTGCTACCTATCCTAAGCGGCCATCCTGAACACACAGCAGTGTGAGAACTGTTTTGTTCACTCTTGGGCCAAGTCCCACGGGCCTAGCACAGGTGCAGCCAGAGGGAAGCCACAGAGCCAAGAGGGGCCACAGCGGCAGAGCAGCCTGACCCAGGCTGGCTCCAGGAAGCAGTGCTCTCAAAGGTCAGACAGGTCCTTTGCTTGGCCCAAAGGAAGAAGCATTTTTTTTTGGGGGGGGGGAAATAAGTGGCACTCAGTGTGACTGAGTGGACACTACAGGAGGTAGGCAAGATTCCATTAATGTTGCTGGCACCATTCTTGCTTGGTTTGAAAATAACTATGGATTGGATCTTGATTTAAACCTACTTAGTATCATAATTCTAGCTAATGCTTTTGAACACTCATGCTGGACACTTGGGAAGTTACACATCACCTTACTTTGATTAAAAAAAAAAACCCTGACACACACACACACACACACACACACACACATAGACACCACACATGTACACACAGAGAGAGTTCTTTTTTAATGAAAAGAGAAAAATCAAGAATTTGAGGAGGATTTGGCACTACGTAGTGAAGAAGTAGCTTTCCAGAATTCTAACCTTTGGATTTTCTTGCAGGACCCATGGTTTCCTCATCAGGAAGGCCAGTTGCAAGTTTGAGGCCAGCTTGTGCTACATGATATCTTATTGTTTGGTGCTATAGGAAGATATGGTGTGACTGCAGTAATGGAAGGCAGTTATAAGATTAGCACTGAGGTATCTCTAAGAAATATAAGTGCTGGAAATCATTGTTGACGACATAGCTGGTTTGGGGAATGAATAAAATTTAGGGAGAACACATAGACCGAGAGCAGATCAGGACAGAATTCTCAGTGGTTAAAAAGGGAAGGAAAAATCAGCAATACAGATAATAGACATTCTAGCAAAAGAGAAGGAAAATCAATATTATGTATTGGAGAGATAACAAGGATTTCCAAGTGGGCTGGCCAGCATTGTGGAATGCACTCATGGGTTAAAGGAGATATAGTCTGAAGACAGACACATGAGTGTTATGACATGGAAATCACTTGAATCTCAAGGGACAGGGCAGTCCTGGAAGAGTTGTTGGATGACCTGAATGTAGCCCATTCTAAGACATTTGCTATGCAGCTTCTAGTACTTGACATTCATAAAATAAACCCTGATTTTAGGTTAATAGACCAAGAGGTATTTTTCCTGGGGAGTAAAGTTCTATAGCTATTTTAAACATGGGGTTGTTTGTTTAATGCAAGTCACTGTTATGAGGCTTAGCTACCGGATCAGGTCCTCCATAATAAGAGCGATGATTTTTACTTCTAGAAATTTTATTTTTTAAATCAGCATACAATATATGGCATGCTTGAAAAAAGTATGTGCCCTTGAGTTTCATTTCTGTTGCTGTGACAAATACTGAGACAAAAGACAACGTAAGGGAGGAAGGGTTTATTTGCCTTGCAATTCCAGGTTCTAGTCCCTCATTTCAGGGAAGTCAAGGCAGGAACTCAAGCAACTGGAAACATCTTATACTATCCTTGCTGCGCTGCAGCTAGCTTTCTTTTCTTAGGGGATGGTACTGCCCATGCTGGACAGGGTCTTCCATTAGTTAACATCAAGACAATACTGCAGTACCCTACAGACATGCTTACAGGCCAGTTTGATCTAGTTAATTCTTCCTTCAGACTGTTTTCCCAGGTGATTCTAGGTTGTGTCAAGTTTACAATTAAAACTACAAATGCATGTAAGCATGCAATAACACATGACCCTGTCCTCCCCACCCCCCAAAGCCATGAATTTGAAGGAGAGTAGAAAGGGTTATATGGAAGAATTTGGAGGGAGGCAAAGGAAGGGAGAAATGTAATTAAAATACAATCTCAAAACCAAACAAATAACAAAAACCCAGCAATAAATTAACTACCTTGACGGCCCCAACTGATAACTCTACAGCAAGCACAGTTCCTGCAGCCAAAGGCCCAGAGAACGTCTGGAAGGGGGAGTGAGAAGACTGTGAGAGCCCAAGGAGCAGGAAGTCTGCTATGAGATTTTGTCTTCTAAAAACGACAGGGGAACTATACCCACAAAGTCTCACCAGTATGGCTGCCGAAACAAGATCTGAACAGTGAGATGATACCAACAGACTTGCTAACGTGGAAGGGCGAACATTCCATGTGTGAATCTGTGTGTTTATAAGCCACAACCAGTGTGGGGGTGTCCTCTAAGGTTGGAAAAGGGTTTGGATCTCATGGAGCTGGAGTCACAGGGAGTTGGTTGTGATCTGTCTGACACGGGTGCTGGAACTCAGGTCCTTTGAAAGAGCAGAAAGTGCTCTTAGTTTCTGAGTCATCTCCCTAGCCTCTGGAGTGTTTTATTTTTTTTAAATAAAAAATTACATTTGCTTATTTATTTATTTAATGTGTCTGGGCACAAGTGTACCACAGTGTAGATGTGGAGGTCAGAGGACAATCTTCTCTGGAAGCCAGTCCTCTCTGTCTGCCATGTGGGTCCTAGGGATTGAACTCAGGATGTACATGTCCTTACCCAGTGAGTCATCTTCCCAACCCTGGCACTTTACTGATCTTGTGAGACTCAGTCTGTTATGTGACCAAATGTGAATCACCAGACTTTCCTGTCACTCATTTGAGGAAAATGGTGTTCCTTGAAAATTTTAGTTTAGTTCACAAGCCAAACAATTGAATAGGTAAAGACCCTCAACATTTCCAACAGATTTTGTATGCAAAGTGTTTCATTCAACTTCCCCAATTTGTTCCCACAGCCGGTGTTCTCCTTTACAAAAGTTGTTCTTACAGTGGTGGCCTCTGCCAAGGCTGCAGTGCTCCACTGCTCCAATGCTCGAGTATGCCAGTGCTCCTCCATTGCTGCTGTTTGCCCAGTGGGAGAGTAAAGCAAACACTGGCATTACAAATTCATGCTGACCTTGGGGCATTAAAAGGACCTGGAAGACCCTGTTAACTGATGCTGGGGCATAAGAGAGTTGGTATCTGGGCTGGAGAGATGGCCCAGAGGTCAAGAGCATTGGCTGTTCTTCCGGAGGTCCTGAGTTCAGCTCCCAGCAACCACATGGTGACTCACAATCATGTATAATGAGATCTGGTGCCCCTCTTCTGGCATGCAAACATACATGCATACATGCAGGCATAATAAATAAATCAGAGAGAGAGAGAGAGAGAGAGAGAGAGAGAGAGAGAGAGAGAGAAAGAGAGATTGATTATTGGCCTGGTAGTGATGGCACATGCCTTTAATCTCAGCACTTGGGAGACACAGGCAGACAGATCTCTGTGAGTTCGAGGCCAACCTGGTCTATAGAAGGAGTTCCAGGACAGCCACAGCTGTTACATGAAGAAACCCTGTCTTGAAAACAACAACAACAAATAAAAGAGAGATTCTTAAAAATAATAATAATTAAATAAAATAAAACAAGAACAAAACAAGAGAGTTGGTATCTAAGGGGGCAGTGACTTGTGCAGAGACTCTCCGATACAGAATGAACTAAAATAAAAAAGCGAAGGCCCAGTTTTCTTCTTGACATGTTTCCTATGTTGAATATAGTCAGTAGTGCACAGGACCAGAAATGCACGCTATGCTACCATTAGAACCATTTCAGAAGATTTAGTGTCAGAATTAAACTATTTCATTCAATGCTTAATCGGAGAATTGAATCTACTCATGTCACACAATGACTACCTTATCTACCTGCTGATATATCTTGAAGATCACCTGAGATACTGGCCATGGAGGCCACCTGCCAGTTAAAGGTGATTTCCTTTACAAAAGGCAGTTTCACGGGAGGCTGATCAAGGCTTCAGTGAGACCAGCAGGACTCTGATTTTTATCAACAGAAATAAAGTTACACAGAATCAGATTTTAACAGGCTGGGGGGTGGGAGATAAACATGAAGGCTTATGGCAATTGCAGTCACAGTGAGTGTTGGGACAGGTGGCCGGGAAGGATCGCAGGGATTCAAAAGATAATGAGATAAAAACTGTAGAAACAGGTGACTGGCTTGTTGCTTGTACCGAGAGGGACACTCTCATGTTTCTGTGTGGTGCATGGCACAGCTCCTGCCTCTAAACAGTACAAGTCAAAGAAGGGACAGTGTCATGGAGGGAGGACTGGCTGCCCTTTGGCTAGGTTAAGTGTAAACCCTCCGTGGGTTGTGCAAGCAGACTGCAGGAGATGAGGGTCAGGAAGGTAGGGAGAAGGGGATGGATGGATGGATGAGAGTCACGCAGACTGGTGACCAGCTCCGGCAAGGGGTATGTGACTTCGGAGTGTCACCCCAGGAGTACCTGCAGGCAACATTTGTCATTTAGAAAGAAACCCAGGAAGAGGTGGTAGCACAAATACAATCTCTACAGAAGCAAGCTGATTGCTTTCTAGGTGTGAGAATTCAATGACATTTTAAAAGTTCATTTGCCTTATTTCTGGGTAACTGCATTCACAGTATCCGGGACAGAGAAAGTTTTAAAGTCCTGGTAAAGAGCCTGTCCACATGAAGAAGGAAAAGAAAAGTAGCTAATGTAACAACTATACTCTCCTCAAGTGCCCCTGAAAGACAAAGCCCAACACCAAGGCTGTTTGTATAGAGGGGTCATCTCCTGTTTCTTGGCCACGAATCAAGTTTGCCCACTGGTGTCTTCTCTCAGTGTTGACAGTGCCCCTGTCCTGCTAATCTGTGTCCCCTTAGGAACCTCCCTTAGCTTCAGGTCATTTCACCCTTTTCTAGTGCAGACAGCTGAGTCTGGGCTCTCATGATTTCCCCTTAAGGGGAGGCCTTGCCATCTTCAAGCTAGATGTGTTAGACCCCCGGAAAAACTCAGGCCTCGGGGGTCTCAGCCCATGACCTCCGTCACCCCAATCACCAGGCAGATTCGAAAACTTGTTGCAAACTGCATGAGGCTTTATTGGTTTTTAACGAGCTAACCCCATGTTAGCTCGGGTCTTTCAGCCACCCGCCATGGGGGGATGGCTAGCAAAGACACCTTGAACCGGCTACCAAGTGATCTTGTAGGGCAGCGTAAGGGGAGTGTCTAGGGGTATGCACAGGCTCAGGACCTTGGAGGGCTTGCCCTGTGTTAATTGGCCAACTGGTTGTTATGGCCCATGGGCCCTCCCAGGGTGATTGCTATGCTCTTCGAGTCATTGCTGTGCACTTGTCTGTAAAGCACACCCAGAGCCGTAAAGCATAGCGCCGCCAGCTAACTTCTGATTGGTTCCTTGCCACGAGGCAGGCATCTGACTTCTAGTGACTAGGACAAGGTCAGACAAGCATGTGTCTGGCTGTTTTGGCTGCCGAAATGGGGAGCTGGTCCCTTCAGATGTTCATGAGGGACTGGAGGCTCAGTTCTTAACATTGGGCTCAGGGAGGGTGTGCCAGTGAGTAGGCCAAGCCACTGCTGCTTCAGTGGCCCGAGGAGGCCTACCTGCTGAACTCCTTCTGGACACAGCC